ACTGTATAACTAATAATATTACATATTATAATATATAATATTAATATTTTTAATATCACTGTTATTAATTTATATATTTTTTATTATTATTATTATGTTTTATGATGATGATGATTAATCAAATTAGACAGTAAAAACACTAATGGCATCTTACAACATCATATTTATTATTTTAAGTATTACTTAATATTAATATTATTATTATTACTTTTTATGACTATTAGTTTATATTAATTTTCATACTATTATTAATATAACATTTTATTATGAGGATGATTATTATTTCGTTATAATTAACCAGATTAGACAAAGCAAAACATCATAATATTATTATTTCAATATTTTATATTATTCTTTTAATTCCAAATGATTCCAGAAGAAATTAACAAGTTTAACTTTATTTTTATTATTATATTTTTACAGGTAAAAAAAATAACACAAAATAAGTCTAATTTCTGTAATATAATAACCAAAATAATCATGTTTGTTTGGACATTATTTTGTTCATAAATTAAGCATCATAAATTAATTTCAGCACACAAATACAACCATGCTACAACTTACAAATGCATTTTACAATAATATAGTGTTGCTTATTTGCATTTCAGAAATGAAAATGGCATCTTGCATTACATAAAATGCACTTCATTTTCTATAAGCAAAATATAATTTCCTACAGTTCTTCTTTGATTTTGGGCTGCAATATGACATGAATATGTGTTCAACCTCAATCTGTTTCTGCGGAAAAACATGCCAACCACAGGATGCAAGTATGGGCGGAGTCATTCTAATGAGACGATGACATCACAGACCTGACAGCCAATGAGGAGACACGCGCCCAGCCCACTGGAGCAGAAGTGATTAGTGCTGTTAATCATGCAGCGCAGCGGTTTAGTGTGTGTTAGCGGATTGTACAGTATGTGTGAGACTGCTGTACCATTGCTGTGGCCACTAGGGGACGCTCTCTCTCAGAGGAGCTGCGCGTGAAGCTCCTCTGAGAGTGAAAGAGAGGAAACAGAGCTTTCCTCATGACTGGCCGTCGTTCGTCATCAGCGTCTGTCTGCAACACAAGAGCACAACACTCACACATCCGCCACCCCACTCCACTGTGTGTCTGGTTAGGGCTCATACAATTATTTGTATTATTTATTATTTTTATAGTTTCTATTGATATTTTGAATTTGTTTTTATTTTTTAATTTTCTATTTTTTTTTTTAGTTCTTATTAATATTTTGAATTAGTTTTTATATTTTCCATTTTCCATTTTAAATTTTTGTTAAAGTTTTTGTTAATTTAGTCTCTATCATTTTTATTAGGTTTTTTCATCTATATAGTTTTTATAAATTTTTTATTTCAGCTTTAGTTTCGGATATTTTAGCACATCGAACACAGTAAAAACACTGATAGTTTTTCCACAACATCCTATACATTATATACAGTATATATTAGGGATGGGCATTCCAAGCAAAAAATAATATTCTAAAATCGCTGGGTATTATTCGATTATTATTCGAAAATCGCACCCCTCCCCCGCATGCACGCACAAACAGTGTTTAATTTAGAAGATAGGCTATCTTAAATCAAGCCATATAATGATTGTAACGTGCTGAAACATATTAATATAATAAACATAACCGAATGACGGCACTTATTAACATAAAAGTCCGTCGATTAGCATAAATCAACTGCTCATAAGGCTATATGGGCGAATTCCAAACGGCTTTTTTGCGCCCTTGAAGGGCACTTCGGGAAGGGGACGCCATTTGTAGGGACGTTCCAAACGAAAGTGAACAACTGAATCCCTTCACGAAGGGCCCTTCCAGAAGTCCGTTAGCGAGCAGCGTTGTCAAGGTAACATTTGGGGAGTTCAGGGAGTTCCAAACGCTTATACGAGAGAGTAATGCCCTTCAAAGAACACACTTCAAGGGCTCTGCCCTTCGAAGGGAGTAGGGCATAGGGATGCTCACTTCCATTTGGACTTCACCTACTGTCTTTAGTGAATCAATGACTCAAAAATGATTGGAAGAAGTCAACTTTGCCATTCCTATATAGCTATCATGTTTTGACAAACTGTACAAAACATTCCTGCCCTTTACCAAGCATGGGAGGAAAAATATACGTTACTTCAATATCTTCTGTCGCAATTATATCGTTGGGTAATTATACTGTATATAAACTGCGGGCATCAGGGAGCCGTTATTAATATGCGGGGCATTGAAATCGCTTTTTAACGTGCGCTTGTTTTTTTACTTTCACTTTCGAGATTCACGATCACACGTACGTACGGAGCAGCACTCTGCAGTACTTACCACACATTTGACAAGATTAGATGTGTGTAGAACTAATTATACAATTAAGTAAGTATTTGGGGTGAAAGTAATTAGTCTTTTAATGTGTCATAAATTGATTTTTGTTGTAAATATGCCTGACAAGATTGTTACACTGAATGACATTTTAGTGTGTGTCTTCTGTAAATCAGGGAAAAATGTATGATATTTATTTTTTGCTCGGAAAAACAAAAACAAAATTGCAATTAAATGAAACATGGGGGGGAAAAAACAACAACAATTTAAAGCAGTATTACACATTGTTTTTATGCTTTTTCGTCTTTGACCCATTTATTTATAATTCATTCATTACTAATTGTAAGAATTTCAATGACTTTTCTAAGGCTGGAGATCACAATATTCCTGATATTTCCTCAGGTTTTTCCTCTTGAGAATCTAGCCCCGTATATCAACCTCACATGTGTCTCCTCTAGAGTTTCACAAGAGATCTCACCAGTGTCTCAAACTGTGCTCAGATTTGCCAAAATACAAACGTCTGCAATCAAGTCAAGTAGAAACTGTGACGCATTATACCCAAAAACTCTTCATACAGTGGACTACCAGTAAAAATTTGGGACTAAAAATCTGATTTGACACTTTGACCTGACCATGTTTTGTTACATACCTTTCTATCAAAGTTATCTGACATTATCAAGATGAATTTGTTCGGACACAGTTTAACTCTCGAGTTCTTGTCATATTTTATAACCATTTTCTAAACTATAGCGAATAAACGGTGAACGTGAAGTACAACATGTTCCTGGATCAACATCCTTGTTTATCCTGGAACAACATTCCAATCAGAATTGAGGGATAGTTTTTCAGGAAATGTCAGTTTTAGGCTTACGATCTGGGTTAGGTGCTTCTACACCCTTGTTAATCAGCTATCATGTCCCACTGATTTTAGGAATAAATTATGGGTAGGGTTAGGTTTAGGGGTAGGGATTGGGTTAAGTCTATATTTTTGGACAGTAATGTTGATCTTACTTGGCAAAAATCACAGCGACCCGAATAAACTGTGATAATGTGAGAAATGTTGAAGGTGTCTGAATACATTTTGGTTTGACTGTACTTCAGCTAGCAATGCAAAGAACAATAATATCATACTCACCCAATCCTCTACATCCTGCGGCGAGTTTTGATCATTCATTTCTTTCACGCGGCGCCACAGGATGTTGTCCTTCCCATGATTATTGATCCTTTGACGGGTTTTAATGGCAAAAACCATGATGATGATGAGGGCCGCGGTGACAATGAAGCCCAAAACAAGAGCGATTGCCTGGATGAAGACAGAATAAGCTCACTATTAGTGCACAACGACTTAAATCGGGCATGATTTACAACGCTGTGCTCACCTCCTGAGGATCCACCACGCAGTAGTGATACAGATACTGGTTCACGAACCCACCAGTCATCTGAGGCTGCTGGTAAGCGGCGCACATGGCGTAAACCTGATTGAACTGAACCGATCCGGACGACTGGGCCATTGGGTAAACCGTCACCAGATAGACTATGGTGGCAACTAACATGAGGAAAGCCATGATGGCGCTGACGATGATGACGGCCAGGTAGAACTTCCTTCCCTGAGCCACTTTCTGGTGCGAGATGATCATGATGAAGATGACGAGCAGGACGATGAAGGTGATGATGGCCATGGCGATCATGAAACCCTTGCCCTGCCTGGGGTCGTTCTGAGAGCCGAGGATCCCGTAACCATAGCCTCCGTATCCACCCATTCCGTAGCCGGTTCCCCCGTAGCCGGTTCCCCCGTAGCCACCGTATGAGCCACCGTATGAGCCTCCGTAAGAACCTCCGTAACCACCGAATCCAGCCGCTCCTGCATCCGTGTCCCAGGCCAGAGTCGAGGCCACGCACACGAAGATGCCCACGCAGAAGATGACCGACATGACGCACATGATCTTTATGATGCCCGGCGGAGACGTCCAGCGGTAGAAATGCTGGAACTCCTCGTCAGGATAGTACGAATACGCAGGCTGCGGGGCAACATTACTGGAGAGAAAATGGGGAAAACCGATTTTAGGGACACAACACATTCTGACTATATGCAAACATATACATATAAACAAAAAACAAATCACACTAAAGTTCAAATCTTTTAGACGATTTAAGTAGGGATGAAAGATATTAGTGAATATCTGTATCATTGTTAGTTTATTTTTTTGGAGAGAAATTGTTGAGGTCAATTAAATAAAACATTCTTTTAAGGACACAACAATACATTTTGCCTTATACCAATATAACTTATTATATATATAATATATATATATTAACTTGAAACATTCACACTACATAAATATTCACACTAATGCAAGATATCAATGAGTTTATCAATATCATCATTTTTTTTCTTCTTCTTTGGCTCTTTTCATTTTTTTAGACCTTTGTTTTTCCATTTCAAACAATACCAGATTTCAAAAGCACTATCAGACTTTTTATATTCAATATAGTATTGTATCATTTCATATGTGACCCTGGAGCACAAAAGCAGTCTTAAGTCGCTGGGGTATATTTGTAGCAATAGCCAACAATACACTGTATGGGTCAAAATTATTGATTTTTCTTTTATGCCAAAAATCATTAGGATATTAAGTAAAGATCTTGTTCCATGAAGACATTTTGTCAATTTCCTACTGTAAATATATAAAAACTTAATTTTTGATTAGAAATATGCATTGCTAAGAACTTCATTTGGACAACTTTAAAGATGATTTTCTCAATATTTTGATTTCTTTGCACCCTCAGATTCCAGATTTTCAAATAGTTGTATCTCGACCAAATATTGTAGTATCATAACAAACCATACATCAATGGAAAGCTTATTTATTCAACTTTCAGATG